AGAATCTTTGTCTTCTTGACATTGAGCCTCAATCCATATTGTAGGCTGCAGTCCTTGACACTCTGCAGCAGGCGCTTCAGGTTCTCTTCAGTTTCAGCAAGCAGGTTTGTGTCATCCGCATAACGCAGGTTGTTGATAAATCGTCCACCAATCTTGACCCCACATTTCTCCTCATACAGCCCCGCCTCCCGGATAATCTGTTTTGCATATAGGTTGAAAAGGTATGGAGATAGGATGCATCCCTGATGTACGCCCTTCCCAATTATTTTGAACCATGCAGTGTTACCTTGCTCTGTTCTGATGACTGCCTCCTGGTCCAAGTATAAGTTTCGCGTTAGAACGATCAAGTGTTCTGGGATTCCCATTCTCATGATAACATGAGATAATATTTTTCAAAACCAAGGCATTCACCAATTGGGTTTGGTATCAAACAAACCCAAAACAAAGAATAACAATTATTAACAAAACAAAACAAAAAAAAATCAGGGAAAAAAGTTCATTTAAAACTACCCTCAACAAGAACTTAAATAACTGGCCTGGTTATTTTTAAAATGCCCAGTGTCCACATTTATCTTTGATAAAATAAAGTTACTGATTCCATTTAAAATTCGAATGTTCCAAATTGGGAAATTCATGGGTTTTTGTTTTTGTTGTTAAATGCCATAAAGTCTACTGCAATTCCCAGCAAGCCTTTGGATAACCTTGCTCTATTTTGTTCCATCCTCACAAATTCTGATATGCTCAAGCTCACTGTTACAGTCATTGTGTCAATCCACCTTGCTTTGGGTCTTCTCCTCCTCTGACCCTCCGCATTTCCCAGAACGATATCATATTCCAAGGGCTTGTCCCTCCTGACAACATGGTCACAGTATGTGAGGTGAATCTTCACCATCCTTGCCTCTAAGGAGCACCCAGGTTGTACCCCCTTCAAGATAGATTGGTTTGTTCCTTTGGCAGTACACCCAGGTAGGTACCCCCCACCCAAAATCACTGGAAAAAACAAACAAAAAACCCAAACAAAAACATCCCAATATGTCTTGCTCTTGTGAAGTGCCATTGAGTTGTAGACAACTCACAGCAACCTTTGAACAAAAAATCAGAACATTTGTTTAACTTTCACCATTTCTCCAAGTTCATAGAGTTTTTGGAGGCAAGCTATTTCAGAGGTGGATGCCACTCCTGCTTCCAGGCTTGTTTTAATCAGGGAGTTCCACCAAATACTGTCCACCGTGGGTAACCATTATCACATTTGCTACATCAGTGTCATAGTGTTTAGCATCACAGCAACCACAAGTATTCAGGTCTTTCGTTCATAGGATCGCTATGAGTCGTCTACAACTTGACAACATTTAAGAACAACAACAACATACTGGTGTATTTACAAAGTTCATATACATTGTTTTTCATACGGATCTTTCCCATTTCCTTCACCCTCACCCCTTCCACCCATCAAATTGTGTGACCCTATGATTCATGCCAGTCCCTCCCTCCATCCATCCTCATCCCTCTGCTTCCCTCTTACCCCCATTAGATTGTCATACTCATTCTACAACAATGGTCTTATACAATATTTTCTTTGGAACTGAGTTAGTTCACTTAGAATAATGCTCTCCAGTCCCTCCAAGTTAAGTAGTAACTTACAAAACCATTGCTCCTCCGTGCTGTGTAGTATTCCATTGTATGAATTTAACATAATTTTTCAATCCATTTGATTGTGGTCAGAAATCTGGGCTCTATCCATGTTCTTGTCATGGTGAATAATGCTGCTATGAGCACTGGTGTACAAGTCTCCCTCTGTTCATGCTTCAGTTCTCATTCACTAGGGGAATATTTCAAGCAGTGGAATGGTTGGGTCATATGGAATTTCTATGTTCAGCTTTTTGAGGAAGCGCCAAACTGCCTTCCAGAGAGGCTGTATCATTATACAACCCCACCAACAATGTAGCAGCGTGTCTATCTTGCCACTCCTATCCAACACTTATTACATGCTGTCCTGTTAAACTGTGCCACTGATACTGGATTGCTGGTTTTCTTTTTAAGCTGCTCTCTGGCTTTGTGGTAACATAGCTGAGGCTAGATGCTTCTGAGTGAGAGTTGTTTTATTTTCTTAAAAACATACTTTAAATTGGAAAATTCATTTAGAATTGTTGTTGTTATGTGCCGTCGAGTTGCCTGCGACTCATAGCGACCCTATGTACAACAGCCCTAAACTCCGCTCTGTCCTGTGCCAATCGCACTGTCTCTGACACTCCCATTCCAATTATCCCAGTCACTGAATCAATCCACCTCATAGAGGGCCTTCCTCTCCTGCGCCGTCCCTCCACCCTCCCAAGCATGATGTCCCTCTCTAAGCATGATTTCTCTCCTCACTACATGTCCAAAGTAAGTTAGACGGAGCCTCAGAATCCTTGCCTCCAAGGAGCCACCCGATTTAACCCTCTCCAGGACAAATCTGTTTGTTTTCCTAGCAGTCCATGGTATTCTCAATACTCTTCTCCAGGACCACAGCTCAAAGGCATCAATTCTCCTTCTATCCTCCTTGGTCATTGTCCAACTCTCTGATGCATAACAGGTGATTGCGAAGACCATGGCCTGTATCAGACGCACCTTAGTCTCCAGAGAGACACCACTGCTCTTCAGCACTTTGGAGAGGTCCCTAACAGCAGACTTTCCCATGGCAATGCACCTTTTAATTTCCTGGCTGCTGGTGCCAAGACTGTTGACTATGGAGCCAAGCAAACTAAAGCTGTGTACAATCTCAATCTCTTCACCATCCATCCTGATGCTGCCAATTGGTCCACTGGTGAGAATCTTTGTCTTCTTCACATTGAGCCTCAATCCATATTGTAGGCTGCAGTCCTTGACACTCTGCAGCAGGTGCTTCAGGTCCTCCTCAGTTTCAGCAAGCAGGGTTGTGTCATCTGCATAACGCAGATTGTTACATAATGTTATTTCTAGGGAGCTCTGGTGGCCTAATAGCAAGAAGCTGCCCTGCAATCCCAAAGCTTGCAGTTTGAATCCACCAGCTGCACCAAAAGAGAAGGAGGGGTAATCTCCTGTGTGATTAACTGCCTACGAAAACATGCTGGAAGGCCACCTATGTGTTAGTTACTACTTGCTGGTACACACCAACAATTCTATTTCTGTTGATGTTGTTGCTGTCAGTTGCCTTTGAGTGGATTATGACCCCATGTGTACAAAGAAGAGCTGCTCTGTGGATTTTAAAGTCTGTGATCTTTCAGAAGCAGAACTCTGGTTTTGACTTCTGAGGTGCCTCTGGGTTGGTTTGAACAGTCAACATATTGGCTACTTGTCAAGTACTTAACCAGTCCCCTTGTGGACTTCTCTTTCTGTCAACAGAGCTTGCCAATATGACAAGGCCAATCCAGGATTTTAAAAAAAGGTTTATAAACAATGCAAGATAAATAACTGCTGCCACACAAACAGAGCACTAGTTATGATTCCTTTTGTTTAAGGGGTTTTTTTTTGTCTTTTTAAGTGATTAATCTTTCTATTCAATGGTCTTTAAAAAATCTGTTCCAAACTTCTGTGGACCATTACTCTCTGACATAATTAAAAATATTTACTGTATTAAAATGTTTTCTACTATCACTTACAGAGTATCTATTTGTGCGTGTTTATCTATCTATCTATCTATCTATCCATACATACATACACACATACATACATACATACATACACACACAGCGCATATATATAGGGACCTCTGGTAGCCTAGTGGCAAAAAGAGCAGCTCTGCAATCCCAAAGGCATGTGGTTCGAGGCCACCCGCTGTTCCACAGAAGGATGGGCAATCTCCTCCTTAACTGCACTTAACTGCTTCTGAAAACCTTACAAAGGGTCAACTGTGGGTTGGTTCCAACTTCATGGTACACAACAACAACTACAACTACCCTTTATATAATATAAACATCAAATATTATGTATCAAAAATAGAATTATAAAAATAATCTAGGACCAGCTTTTTCAAAGCACCAAATTTACCCAAAAGGAATTCCATGTTTCACCAGAAAGGGGTAGACATGATTATTATAAAGTCTCAACAAAAGTAGATGTCAGAAATTTCATACTAAACATCTGTGTTACATTTCTGCATCAGAATGTCTAAAGTACACATTAGAAACCATCATAAATTTAAGCTGCAAAAGGCAGAAATAAAAACTTACAGCTCCTTTGCAGTAAAGTCGTAACTTTCCGGATGGAGTGCGAACAATCACGGACATTCTTTTTCTTGCGCTGAAAGAGAGTGATTTTCCATAATATGTCATCATGCTGAGAATGGGCATCTGTATGTTTGTCATGCCTCACATATTTTAATACCCTCAGTGAAAAAATAAAATTTGACCAAATTATGATCCCTGTCCTTCCCTATAAACAAAACTATCTCCTGGGAGTAGAGTTGGGTATCTTTGAACCTCATGGTTTTTAAGGCAGTAGGGACTCAGCGACTGCCCAACAGGAGAAGGTCACAGAGTGACTCCCAAGAATTGCAAGGGTTACTACCCACCAGGACAGTGGAGAGTTCTTGTTTAATGTTCAGATTTGAAAAATAAGGCTGTTAGTATCTTAACAGCAGAGCTGTATTTCACTGCTTTCATTAAAAAACCCAAGTGATAGTTAATTTTTACTGAAAATTCAAACTCATTGTTGTGGAAGTCACAAATGACTCACAAGCTGGCCCTGTGGTAGATTTGCAGAGGCTGTACTCTGCATGTGAAACGACTGTCCATCTCTCATCCTGTGGAATGACTGGTGCATTTGAACAGAGAGGCGCCACCTCTGGGTTAGGAGCATAACTCCCTACGGACTATACCGCCTCTAATCACACACCGAAGCAAAATTAGTATTTTTAAAAGCAGCATAAGCATCTATTGAGTTAGAATTTTATTTATAAGCAAATAAATAAAATTCTATTTCTTTGTATAAATTATAATTTTTCAGTGGTTACTAGCAAACCACAAGTATCATGAAAAATGTAATTTACACCAGCAAAGATAGGCTAATAAGAATGAACATTTTAACAATGGTGAAATAGGCTGTTTAATAAAACTGTTTAATACATAACAACTGTTTGATATACTAACATCTTGTTAAATATATAACAGGGGCAGAAAATAGCACTTAACAGAACTGGTCAAGTACAATATAGCGCTTCATTTGGACTACATATGCACAGCATCATCTCCAGAAAGAAAGGCACTATTCATATATCTGCATCTATTTGTTTTACCTCGTAACCTCTGCTGCTAAGAGCTGAAACGAGTCCAATACACAGCAGCGGTCAGATAGGGTAGCATAGCATATGGGCAGGAATTACAGAAATACAGAAATATTTATGTTTCATTTTACTCCATCTATACTCCTCATTATTCATCTTCCTTTGGATCTTTCAGTGCATGAAAGTAAAGAAAATAATGTTTGAATTGTAAACTGAATAGATTCCATTACTTTTAAGTTGCTCCCAGTCAAGACAGTAACCAAAATTGGTACAGCAAAGGAAGTCCCTCTCTGAGCCAGTGCACACTGTCCTATGTAGGAGAAAGGTCAGGGAGCTCTGGTGGCACCATCTAAAGTAAGTTGCACTGTTGAGCCAAAGACCATGTCTGTGTGGTGATTCATATCTACCAGCAGGTCTGAGGGAGAAAGATGGGCAATCTCTTCTCATTTGGTTTAAAGTCTTGGAAAGAATTAGAACGTCTTGGAGGTCCGGCTCTGGGTTAGTTCAGATGTGAAGGCAATGAGTTTGAGGTTTCTGTGTTTTTATTTTTGTTTGGAAGAAGGAAGAAGAAAGATGATCTTTAGGGAGCTCTGATAGCCTACGGGTAAAAAGCTACAATGCAATCCCAAAGGTATGTGGTTCAAATCCACTAGCTGCCTTGCAGAAGGATATTCTCCTCCTGTGCCTCTGAAAACCTGCTGGAGGGTCATCCATGGATTGGTTCCCACTCAAGGGAACACAATAACCACCACAATGCAATCCTTAAAGACTCTTTCACTTGCTCAAAAATGTAGGTTAACTGAGAATCACATGGTAATAGTAGAAGGAAAGAGCCAAAAGCTCAGAGATGAATTAAGGAATCTACCATGTTACCACTGAAAATAGCTGAATAATTGCTTTGTTTTCTGGTTATTTTCTACTAAAAGTTAAGGATTTTTTACCAAATGTGGTTACATTTGATTTAGAATCATAGTGATCTAGATACCACCGAATTGATTTAGTTTTAGTGATCCCAAGTGACAGAGAAGAACCTCCCACAGGGTTTTGTAGGCTGTAATCTTTATGGATAGGGACTGACAGTTTTTTCTCCTGTGTAGTTGTTTGGATGGTTTTGAATCTTTAGCCTTTTGATTACTTATTCTTCTGTGCCATCAAGTTGGAACCGGCTCATGGCTGACCATTCAGTAGGTTTTAAGAGAGTAAAGTGCCCAGGAGGAGACTGTCCATCCTTCTCCCATGGAGCAGCTGGTGGATTTGAACCTTGCACCTTTGGGACTGTAGTGCAGCTTCTTACCACTAGGCCACTGGACTTTGTTTATCTACCAGGGTTCCTCTTATATCTAACAGAGACATGGAGATAGTTTCTAAAATTTTAAAGACTATTAGAAATAATGGGCACATAATAATGGTAGATTTCTGACTCTGATTTGCTCTTATTGTACATAACGTTTGGTGTCTCTAAGTATAATAGTGTTTGCAGACACTGCAATGGCCAATTAGCCATTGGCTCCTGGTGAAACAGCCTGAAGCTATACTGTAGGTAAATGACAAAAAGAAATAATCTGCCTCCCATAGTAATGCAACATCTTAAGAAAGCAGTTTATGATTTGTTGTTATGGGCCGTCAAGTTGGAACCAATCAATAGCTGACTCTCAAGCAGATTTTCAGAGGCAATTAATTACACAGGCGCAGACTTCCCATCCTTCTCCCATGAACAGCTGTTGGATTCGAACCACGTGCCTATGGGTTGGTTCCCACTGGATGATACTGAACAACAGTGATAAGAAGCTGTACTGCAGTCCTGAAGGCCTGAGGTTTAAATCCACCAGCTGTTCCTCCACAGAAGGTGGATGAGTCGGTTCTGACATGACAGCACGCAACAAGAAGCAGAGAATTAAGAGTTTTGTTTAAATAAATTTGGCTAAGCAAAACCAAAACATGCACTGTAAGTTACTAACAGAAAAACTGATAGAAATTTAACTTAGGAAAGCAAGTATCAAGGCAGATTTTACCTGGTGAACTCCAGAACATTGAGCAATTCATATCTTTCTTCCTGTCCCAGCTGTGAAAGGAAAGAATACATAATTAGATAGCTTGGAAAGATCTTAAGTACCCCAGGAATAAACCCAGCCAATGCAAAGGTACATGGTACAAATCTGCCAGCCTCTTTGTGGGGGGCGGGGAGGGGTGGAAGGCAGTCTTCTCCTATGTGATTCATTGCCTCTGCAAACACACTAACGGGTCAGCTTTGACTCCGTTCTGACTCCATAGTACATGACAATGGCACAAAAACGATACTTTAATGTAGAAACTGTCAGTACAAAGAAATTTTCCCAACATCATCTTTACTCGTAACTTAATCATCTTTTTTAAATTTTACTGATTTATTTATAAAGTTTGAATACATTGTTTTTCACAAAAGATACTTCCATTTCCTTCACCCCACCCACCCATCGAATTATGCACCCATAGAACTAACACCCTGCCCACCCCCATCCTCACCCCTAGTTTTCTACCCTCCCCCTGCCTTGCATCCTCATACTCATTCCAAAATAATGGTTTCATACAGTATTTATCCTTGTGGGACTGAGTTAATGAACTCAGAATAATGCTCTCCAGTCCCTCCCAAGTTAGGTGGTAATTTACAAAATCATTGTTCCTGTCTGCTGTGTAGTATTCCATTGTATAAACATACCCAAACTTCTCAATCCATTTGTTTGTGGTTGGACATTTGGGCTGTTTCCATGTTCTTCCAATGGTGAATAATGCTGCTATGAACACTAGTGTACACGTTTCTGTTTGAGCCTCAGTTCTCATTTTCTTGGGGTATATTCCAAGCAATGGAATAGCTGGGTTATATGGAATTTCTATGTTCAATTTTTTGAGGAAGCTCCAAACTGCATACAGAGTTGTACCATTGTACCATCCCCCCAACAATGTTAAAGAGTTCCTATCTCACCACATCCTCTCCAACATTGAATACCTGCTGTCCTGATAAACTTTGCCATTGCGACTGAAATGAGATGATATTTCATTGTGGTTTTGATTTGCATCTCTATTATTGCCAGTGATTTGGAGCATTTCTTAATATGTCTGTTGACCATTTGATTATCCTCATCTGTGAAAATTCTTTCCATGTCTTTTGCCCATTTTGTAATTGTATTATTAGACTTCTTGTGGAGGCCCAGGAGTATTCTATAAACTTTTGTTATAAGACTCTTTTCTGAGATGGTGTTTTCCCAGTCAGTAGGTTTCCCTGTTAGGAAAAGTTTTTGATGAACACAGGGATTTAATCTTTAGAAGATCCCATTCATCAATTTTATCCTCTTCAGATTGTACATATCTGATTGTATTTGGCAGTCTCTTTTTACAATAGAGTAGGGATTCTAAACTTGATCCCAGTTTGTCTCTTATGAATTTTATGGTTTGAGGCTTTACTCCCAAGTCTCTTACACACCTTGAGGTGATTTTTGTGTGTGGTGTGAGATATGGATCCTGTTTGAGCTTTCAGCAGGTAGCAGTCCAGTTTTGTCAGCAACATTTGTTGAAGAGATTGTCATTTCCCCATTTGATAGGTTTTATTTCCTTGTCAAATATCAGTGGACCGTAAATAGCTGAGTCTATTTCTGGTTTGCAATTCTGTTCCACTGATGTATGTGCCTACCACTATACCAATATCGTGTTATTTTGGATATAACTACTGTATAGTAGGTTTTGAGGTCAGGGAATGCTATACTTCCCACTTCATTTTTATTTCTCAGAAGTGTTTTGCTTGTTTGGGGGTCTCTTGCCTCTCCAAACAAACTTGACAATTTCCCTTTCGATCTCCTTGAAAAATGAATTTGGTACCTATATTGGAATTGCACTGAATATGTTGACTACTTTTTGGTAGGATAGTAATTTTTCACAATATTTAGTCTTCCTATACATGAACAGGGCACTTTTTTCCATTTGTTTAGATCTTTCATTGTGTCTTTAAGAAATGTTCTGTAGTTTTCTTTGTATAGGTCTTTTGTATGTCTAGTTAGGTTGACTCCCAAGTATCTTAATTTGTGGTTGGCTACTGTAAATGGTATTACTTTCTTGGTTGGTTTCCTTCTGAGTTCTCTTTGTTACTGTAGAGGAATCCCTCTGATTTTTGGATATTGATCTTATATCCTGTCACTGGACTAAACTGGCTTACTAGGTGTAATAGGTTTTTTGTTGAGTCTTTGGGCTTTTCTATATACACTATCATACTATCCACATATAGTGATATTTTAACCATTTCTTTGCTGATCTGCATGCCTTTTATTTCCTTATCTTTTCATATTTCCCTAGCAAACACTTCCAGTACAATATTGAGTAGAAGTGGTGACAGTGACATCCTTATCTGGTCCCTGTTCACACAGGGAAAATGTTTTTAGTCTTTCACCATTGAGAATGAGATTGGCTCTTGGTTTTGCATATATACTTTTCACAATGTTGATGAAATTCCCTTCTATTCTAATTTTGCTGAATGTCTTTCAGGAAGGGGTGTTGGATTTTGTCAAATGCCTTTTCTGCATCAATTGCGAAGATCATTGGTTCTCATTATGTATTTTGTTAATACGGTGAATTACATTTATTGTTTTTCTTATGTTGAACTATGCTTGCATACGTGTTACGAATCCCACTTGAACACGGTGAATTATTTTTTTATGTGCTTTTGGATTCTTTTGGCTATGATTTTGTAAAGGATTTTTGCATCTTTCTTGGTAATATCTTTGCCTGGTTTTAGTATTAGGGTTATGCTTGTACCACAGAATGACTCTGGGAGTGTTCCTTCTTTTTCAATTTTTTTGAAATAATTTAAGTAGAATTAGTGATAGATCCTCTCTGAATGACTGGTAGAATTCATCTGTGAAGCCAACTGGCCCAGGACATTTCTTATGGGGAAGTCTCTTTATTACCTTTTAAATTTCTTCTTTTATGATGGGTGTATTCAAGTGTTCTGTATCTGTCCTTGTCAATCTGGGCAGGGCATGAGTTTCAAGGAAATTGTTCATTTCCTCTAGGGTCTCAAATTTATCAGATTATAGCTTCTCACAGTGTTCTGATATTATAATTTCCTCTGGTTCTGTTGTGATGTCATTTCTATGATTTCTTAATCTAGTTGTGTCTTCTCTTTTCCCCCTTTTTGTTAAGTTTGTCAGTGTTTTGTTAATTTTATTAACTCTTGAAAAACCAGTTCCTGGTATTATTTATAGTTTAAAATGTTTTCCTGTTTTCTATCTCATTGATTTCAGCTCTTGTCTCGATAATTTCTTTTCTTCTACAGGCTGTAAGATTAGATTGTGTTCTTTTTCTGGATGATGAAGGTGTTGAGTTAGATTCTTAATTTTTCTTCTTTCTTCCTTTTTTATGTGGGTGCCTATTGCTATGAACAGCTCCTTGAGGACTGCCTTAGTTGTATCCCAGAGGTTTTGGTGTGTTATCTTAATCATCAACTTATTATATACTTTACTACTAACTTCATTGTCATCATTACTATAACATTATCAACTTACTAACTTCCAGGTTAAGATCGAGGTGAAACATATACATTTAATTTCTGTCCTTTCCATTTCTATTTCAAACAAGAAAGAAAAATTAGAAAGAAACCAATTAAAAACAAAGAAAGGAATCCACAGTGCCAAGAAAATAAGAGAGACAACATAAAGATAAATCTAAAATAAACATACAAAGAGATCAGTGAGAGCTATCTAACTAAGAAGAACCAAGGTAACTGAAGCCTACACTTTGAAGCTGATAGGTCATACAGGTCATAGGGAGTTCTGACTCAAGGTGACCTCATTATTGGTAAGTTTTTTAAGGCTGTGTTACCTTTAAGAAGCAGATCTCCAGGCATCTCTTTTCAATTGCCTCTGGGTACATCTTAATGAACAACTTTTCAGCTAGTAAACAAAGATTTCTGGGAAAAGCTACGAACTCACCACTAATGATCACTGCTACTAGCTGATTCTGACTCATGGTGATTCCCCACCAGGCTTTACATCTTAATGGGAGTAGACTGTCCCTCTTTCTCACCAGAAGCTTCTGGTGGACTTGAACTTGAGACTACTAGCCTTTTTGTTAGGCATTTAAGGTGCTACAGATTATGCCCACCAGTTGCTCTGTGGAAGAAATGGCCCATCTTCTCCCATTATAATTTATAGCTTCAGAAATCTGATGGAGAGTCACTATGAGTTGGATCTGACTCAGTAGCAGTGAGATTTTATGAATAACAAACTAAATGGCTTGGTGGTAAAGAGTTGTGCTACCAACAGAAAGGCATGTTGTTCGAATCCACTAGCTACTTTCCAGGAGAAAGGAAGATAATCTCCCTTGCAATTTACTGTCTCTGAACACCCCCTAGAGGGCCAGGTGTAACAACAAATGGCTGAAGAAAATAAAATTCCAGATACCTTGGAAATTCAGAGATACAAGAGAGGTCCACAGAGAGAAGACCTTTAACAAATGGTGACACAGTGACTATCACTATGGGCTTGAGTCTGAGGATGGAGCAGGATAACGCAAAGTTTCAAACTACTGTGCACAGGGTCATAACGAGTTGTAGTGGATTTGAAGGCACATAACAATAAACAGAGATGTGTGAGCATGAATTACTGAGAAAAAGCTCAAAGCATTGATTGCCCTTCCTGCACACAATGACCAGACATTTTATAAAGTGTGGAACAGGATTCCCCCTGATCCTGGAAACTGAGTGACACAGTTGAGGATATTGTGAGTGTAACTGGTCTAGATTAGAGCCATGTGCATCAGGAGTTTAAGACCATTACATTTAGCCCTATGATCAGCTGTGTCAAACCATTATGATCTATATGAATTCCAGTGGTTAGCTTTGCAGAAGTAGATCACCAGGCCTTCCCCTGGGTAAATGGGAGGTCTGGAGGCTCCCCTTACACCGCCTCAGCAGCAGACAGCTCCCACTGACAATTAGGCAGTGGTTACAAATGAGGTACACTGCCTGGAAAAGGAACCTGAGCTTCTCACATAGAAGGTGAGAGTTTTACCACTGGAAAATCTCCATGTGATTAACTGCCTCTCAAAACCTGCTGGAGGGTCCGCTATGGGTCAATTCCAACTTGATGGTACACAACAACAACAAAAGCAACAACAACATAATGCTGAGTACATTCCAGTAGCCTCCAGACTGAGATGAACTAGGAGGAAAAGCTTGCTGACCTACTCCTAAAAACAGTCAATGAACAGCTTATGGATTATAAAGGTTTGATCTAAACAACACAGGACTAGTGTGATACAATCCCAAAGATACACAGTTCAAATCTACCAGCTGCTCTGAGGGAGAAGGATGGGTAATCTCCTTCCTCTCATGCGAGAGGGTCAGCAATGAATTGATTCTAACTCAATGGCATATAACAATGAATTAATATTTTCTTTGAGGGATGCCTACAATTTATGGTTATAGTTTTTCCTCCTTCATAAGTTGAATAATAGATCAGAATTTTGCATAGGCTTCCTGCTTTAGATATGGCTTCTAATTAATTTTAAGGTTCAATTCTTAGACAAAGTTGTTTTCAGGAACAGAGAAGAACTACAACCAAATTGTAGGGGCAAAGCTTTGCAACGAGCACTTTTTGTGACTGTCAAATAATTGTTAATAATAAGAATTCTATTACTTAACTTCTAAATTTGCTGATATTCCTAAGGAATGTGTTTCATCAAAATAAGAGTAATCACCAAGAAAGAAGAAGTGATATTGGGAAAGTACAAAGAAGAGAAGGTCCAGGAATTCCACGTGTCAGAGAAGCTGGCCTTGGAAAATAATACATCCGGATAAGAGGAGTATGGAGGACGTCAAGAGGATGGCTCAAAGAATAAACTGCAAATTTACAGATTATCTATTTGCTGCCATTTTTTTCTGAGAACAGTATGCTGTCAAGTATGACTCATAGCGACCCTATGAGCAAAAGGTCTGAACTCTGTCCTATCCTGCACAATCCTCACACGTCCTGCCACACAAGAGCAAATAATTTTAGGAGATGCATTTTTAAAAAAGGAAATAGGGAGCTCTGGTGGCCAAGTGGCAAGAAAGTGCATGGCAATCTCAAAGAGATGTGGTTTGAATACTTGCAAAGGTGTAATAATATAACCACTAAAAAAGAAATTTTCAGTTCTGAAGCTCTGTCTGACATACTCTGGACATATTGCAAGAAGGGATCAGTTCTTGGAGAGGGACATAATGCCATGCCTGGAAGGGTGGAGGGAGAGCACATGAGAGGAAGACCCTGGATGAGATGGACTGACTCAGTAACTGAGGTAATGGGGGTAGATGTGTCAGAGACAATAAGGTTGGTTCAAGAGCTGTTGTACATAGGGTTGCTATGAGTTGCAAGTGACTTGATGGCACATGCTCTGATATTAATTATACAATATACTATCTCCACCAAAGTTCTAAATTCTATTACCACAAGTACGTTTTGCCACATCTAAAGCTGCATATAGAAGAAATTAAAGAGTCTTGCTTTTCTTTATCTTTTCTGTGAAAATATATACCAAATATGTATCAATTCAACAGTTTCTATATGTACAACACAGCAAGATCTATTTCATTTACTTATTAATGGCACGGGACATTAGTCTGTAGACTAATTTCTTACTTAAGTCTTTGAATACCAATAGTTAGCTGTATTTTAGATGGCTGCTGACAAGCTTTTATGGCTTCAGATACTATTCACTAAACTAAATTGCTGGAGAAAAGTATTAAAGATACCATGGACTGCTAGAACAGACAAGTTTGTCCTAAAGAGGGAGAGACCATGCTGTTTGTTGGAGGTAAGGATTCTCTTTGTCTGACTTAACTTTGGACATGTTGCAGGAGGAACCAGTCCTTGAAGAGGAATATCATGCTTGGGAGGGTGGAGGGACAGCACAAGAGAGGAAGACCCTCGATGAGATGGATTGACTCAGTGACTGGGGTAACAGGGCTAAGTGTGTCAGAAACAGTAAGATCGGCACAAGATAGAGCAGGGTTTAGGGCTGTTGTACACAGGGTTGCTATGAGTTGCAGGTGACTTGATGGCAAACAACAGCAACAACAACAAATGCTGAATATTATCATTATGAACTACGTTATACCAATTGACCCAATGGTCCCATGAGATTGTGATCCACAACATTTGATAATGTTTAAGGTATATTCATGGAAATCTGGTGGCTTAGTGGAAAGAAGCTGTGCTGCAATCCCAAAGGCACATGGTTCAATTCCACGAGGGAAAGAGGCCATCTTCTCTCATGTAATTTACAGGCTGTGAGAACTCACTGGTCAGTCAGTGATGGGATGGTTCCTATCAAACGTACTTACCGACAACAACAACACAAGGCATATTAATAACTGTGTCCTCTAAGTGCTTTATTGTATATATTAATACATATTGTTGAAGTTTAGATTCTGGTGAGTTGCAATTATCTTATAGTTGACCCTCCAGTGGGTTTTCAGAGACAATAAATTGCCCAAGAAGAGACTGCTCATCTTTCTCCTGGAGAGCCAGCTGACCGATTCAAACTGTGTGCCTTTGGTTGGGAGCACAGCTCCTTATCAAGTTGAGACACACACACACACACATCTATTATGCACACACATGTACTCAATGCTGACACTCCAGCAGGTCTTCAGAGACCATATAATACACAGGAGGAGAATGCACATAGGAGGAGAATACAAGGGGTGGCTTCAGTGTGCCTTTGCCTTGGGGTCATCATAACGATATATTTTTTGCTTGTTGTTGTAAAATATTTTAAGTTATAACATTTACTCTACCGACTTTTACTCTTGTGTATCTTTCAAATATTGCTTTGTGTTCTCTTTAATATTAGGTGATTTCAACAATTTTTATTTGATCCCTATGGTGGGTGTACAAAGGTATCTCATTGCAATGGCTACTGGGTATTTTCCAGTGCTTTCTGGCTATTCATATACATTCTTTTGTAGAGCATCTGTGTTTTTCCATGAAAATAGAACCCTGTGTTGTTGTTGTTAAGTGCTGTTTAGTTGAGTAAGACTCATAGCGAACCTGTGAACAAAAGATCTGAACCTAGTCCTGTCCTATGTCATCCTCACATTTCCTGACACACAAGAGCCACTGCAGCAATCACTGTGTCAATCCACCTGGTTGAGGGTCTTCCTTTTCATCACCAACCCTCCACAATTCCCAGCATCATGTCCTTCTCCAAGGAATACGCCTAAAATATGTGAGGTGTAGCCTCATCATCCTTGCCTCCAAAGAGCATTTCTGCTGCATCCATTCCAAGACATATCCATTTGTTCTGCTGGGCGTCCGTGGAATGTTCAGTGCTCTTCTCCAACATCATAGTTCAAAGTGATCAACTCTTCTTCTGTCATCATTATTTACTGTCCAGCTCTCAGACGCATAACAAGTGATCAGAAATATCATGGTTTGAATCAGAGGCACCTTATTCCTCAAACTGACATAATTATTCCTCAATAATTAGGAGAGGTCCCTAACTTCAGATTTTCCGAGTACAATGCATCTCCTTATCTCCTGACTGCTGGTACCAAGGGTGTTAATTGTGGATAAAAGCAAGACAAAGCATTCATAGGGTCAAAACTTATTCTTTTAATAATACAAGACCAAATATGATGACAGCTCAAGCTATATCAATTTTTATTTAATAGGTTAATATTATGAAATATTTCTAAAACAGAAGGGTCAAAACAAAAATAATTATTGGTATATTTTTTAACATCTCAGATATAGAAATATTTAAAGAATTAGCTGAAGAATAAAAATCTGATTGTCTCTGGTGAGTGAAACTAGAATACGGAACCTTTATTATGGATCTTTTAGAACTTTCCTAAGGTTATACATATGTAATGTTGTTGTTATGTCCCATCAAGTCACCCGAGACTCATAGCAAACCTATGTACAAGAGCTCTGAAGCCTGCCCTCCTGAGACAGTCTCACTGACCTGATCCCCTACCCCCATTGCCCCGGTTGACGTATCAAGCCATTGCATCTGGGGTCTTCCTCTCCTGTGGTGTCCCTCCACCCTCCCGAGCATAAAGTCTTTCTCCAAGGACTGGTCCCTCCTGGCCATGTGCTCAAAGTATGTCTAACACAGAACTTTAAAATCCTAGCCTCCATGGAGAAACTGGGTTTCACCCTCTCCAAGACAGACCTATACGTTTCCTTGGTAGTTCATGGTATGTTCAAGACTCTTTTCCAGCATAACAACTCAAAGGCATCAATTCTTCTTCTGTTACCCTTAGTCACTGTCCAGCTCTCTGATGCATAGCAAGTAATTGCTAAGACTATAGCCTGGATCAGGCGCACCTTAGTCTCTAGTCTGACATTTCAGTACCCTGGAGAGGTCTCTGACAGCAGATATTCCCAATGCACTTCATCTTCTGATTTTCTGACTGCTGGTGCCAAGAATGTTAATTACAGAGCCAAGTAAGCTGTAATTGTTGAAAACCTCAATCTCCTCTCCATCCGTCAGGGTGCTGCCAATTGGCCCAGTGGTAAGAATCTTTGTTTTCTTGATGTTAGGTTTCAATCAATATTGAAGACTACAGTCCTTGATCTTCTGCAACAAGTGTTTTAGCTCGTCCTCAGTTTCAGCAAGCAAGGTTCTGTCATTTGCACAACGTAAGTTGCTGTTGAGTCTTCCTCCAATCCTGATGCCACATTCCTTTTCATAAAGCCCAGCTTCATGAACTATCTGTTCTGCATACTGATTGAAAAGGTATGGAGACACAATCCATCCCTGACACATTCTTTTCCTGATTTTTGAACCATGCAGTGTTTCCTTGCTAACACATTAATTAAAAAGAAACTTCAAAATAACCAACTTACAGAATCTATAATCACCGAGTCTGGTGTTCTTCCAGTGAAAACAAAGTTCAATTGCTTGGCAGCTCTGACCAAGGCTCCTTCATCTATATTAGAAAAAAAAGCAAAAGCAAATGTATGAGCAAAATAATTATCCAAAACACAAAGGAAATAGACTCATGCAATGCACTTTCTTGTTTAATTAAAAAAATCTTTCTTTTATTCTGGCCCTTGTTATGGAAATGTATTCTTTTAAAATTATATGGGAATACTAAAGAAAGGAGTAGAATAAAATAAACAGAACAAACTTAAGTGTTTTAGACAGTTAAGGACTCCAGAGTCTTATTTCTGATTATTACATTTTACTGTTCAACACAAATACCTAAAAAATGAATTATTTAAATGTACCTCTTAGCCTAGAATATTCTCTAGAAACTTTTCACAAAATGAATGGCATAAAATTTCTTTAGGTTTCCTCTTCTCTAAAAAGTTAGATGTTAGAATACTATTAACATTAATTGAGGATGTGATTTAAGCGAATCTTAAAAATGGAATTTTAAAATATTATGTCCTAATTCTTTTGAGAGGGATATTACGCTTGGGAGGGCAGAGGAATAGTGATAGGCAGGAAGACCATTAATGAGATGGATTGACTCAGTGACTCAGGTATGAGGGGTAGGCTGTCACACATAGGGTTGTTATAAGTCACAGGGGACTTGACGCCACATAACAACATATCCTAATTATGTTCATTGCCATACTGCATCAAACATTTTCCTAGCTAAGAACTGGTCAGACTAAGAAAACATCAACATGGGTTCTATCCAAAGAATGTGAGATATAACCATTCTCAAATATTTTCAGACATGTAGAACATTCTACAAGATCACAGGTGTTTATTGTGTTTGACATGAAATACGTAAGACCATTAAGCAGGACTGGCTTAAGATACATTTTAAGATTCTTAATCATCATTAGTATTGGTAAAAAAAGGTCTTCCATATTATATTCTTTTACTAAAATTTTATAACTGATAACCTTGCCAATCTGAAAATAAGCATAAAATTATGATTAAATATTAGATATTGATTAAGTGTAATAAATACAGAATCTCTTCCCTACCCAAATAAATACACCATGTTGTTATTGTTGTTATGTGCCATCGAGTCAGCTGTGACACATAGCGACTCTATGCACAGCAGCTCAGAAGCCTGCCTGGTCCTGAGCCAGACTCACTAATTCTGATGCACCAACCCCTATTGTCCTAGTTACTACACCAACCCATCTCATTTGGGGAAATACACCATAAGTACACCTTATTATCACTTGTAAATAAAGAAAATAGAATTGGGACTTTGAATTATTATATTTTCAGGCAAATGTTCTTTTTTCTTTACAATTTATGACTAATATTTTATTCCAAGTTATGTATAAAGAAGATAAAAATTACTCTGTACAGAAGAAAACACAACCTTTTCACTTGAAAAAACTCAACTGTTTAAAATCTGTAATTTACATTTCTATCCAATTTAAATCAAACACATAACAAAGGTGTATTATTTTGATATACATAAATTTAATTAGAAAGGCAAAAATTTCCTAATTAGAAAAAAAAAATCTCAAATACATAGTCAGTTTTGCTTTCTAAATTTAAGTTGATTTTCCCCTCCTAGATAATCCTTAATCTGAGGACATCTCTCTCCCACTCCCTCAAGACTAATACTTCACAATGGTCTATCTGTACCTGGAGATGCAGCTTGGTAGATGATCTTGTCACCTTCTCTCTCTGGTACTGCAGTGTGACAGACTGCCATCATCGTGAGAAACTCACAGATTATAGGAGCAGTTGGCTATCAAAAATAAACATTCACTTTAACCTTTTTTATGTCAACATTTGATGCTAATAACAGTAATATTACTTCTTTATTAAAATTTATAATTTCTCTATTATAACTAGAGATGTTAACAGTTGCAAGCTGTGGCTTTATAGCTAAGAACCCTCCCCCAAAAAAACTCTGAAGAAAAAACATTTTTAACTCAAGTCATCCATTCTCAGTCCCTCATTTACTTTCTAGACAATTTGTGGGACAATTTTGGGTTGTCAAATTAAGGCATACAGGGGAGGAAAAAAAATAACTGAATCTTGTACTTAGAGGAAAGAGTCAAGTTCTAAAATGTTTAGCTGATTATTAACTCAAAGGTTGAAAGTCTGAACTCACTTGGTTTAACTCACTTTGGGAGAAAGCCCAGGCAGTTATTTTCTGTAAAGATTATACTAAAGAAAACCTTATGGGGTAACTCAAACTCATCATATGGTTCACTGTTAGTCAGAACTGACATAACATCCAGCAACAATTCTTTAATAAATTTAAATTATAAGCATAATCACAGTGGCCAATTGACTGGAAGAGATTCATACTTATTCCCATTCCCAAAAAAGGTGATCAGAATGGGTTAACGATCAAACCACTGATATCACATGCAAGCAAAATCTTGCTGAAGATTACTCAAAAATGACTGGGACAATACATTGAGAAATGCCAAAAATACAAGCTGGGTTTAGAAAAAAGGTCACAGCACTAAGGATATCATTGCCAATTTCAGATGGATTTTGGTTGAAAGCAGAAAGTACCAGAAGAATGTCTGTGTTTTATTGATTATGCAAAGGCATTTGTGTGGATGACAACAAATTGTAGCTAACACTGAGAAGAATGGGAAACCCAGAATACTTAATTGTGCTCATGCAAAATCTACACTTTGACCAGGAAGCAGTCATTAGAACAGAACAAGGAAACACTACATAGTTCAAAATCAAGAAAGAAATGCATTTGGGATGTGTCCTTTCTCTGTACCTTTTCAATATGGATTTGGGACAGATTATTCGGGGGGCTGAACTCTATAAAGAACAATGTGGCATCAGGATCAGGATTGGAGGAAGATGCATGAACAACCTGTGTTATGCAGATGATACAACCCTGCTCACTAAAACTCAGGAGAACTTGAAGCATTTGTTGCAGAGGATCAAGGACTGCAGTCTTCAATACGAATTGCATCTCAAAATCAAGAAAACAAAAATGTTCACCTCTGGACAACTTGGCAGCATCATGATAGATGGAGAAGAGACTGAGGTTGTTAACGATTTCATAAAAAAAAAGTTGCTTTGACTAGGTCTGCTGTCAGGAATCTCTCCAGAGTCCTAACGAGCAACAGTCAGTCTAGAGACCAAGGTGTATCAATTCCTCTCATTTACTTGCTATGAATCTGACAGCTGGACAATGACTAAGGGTTGCAGAAGAATTGATGCCTTTTGAATATACTATGCATAAAAGAACTAATGGGACTGTCCTGGGAAGGGTGAAACCAGGTTTCTCCATGGAATTAAGGATTGGTCTCACGTACTCTGGGCATGTTGCCAGGAGGGATCAGTCCTTGGAGAAAGTCATCATGTTTGGAGGATTGCAGGTTCAGCACAGGAGAAGACAACTCTGGATGAGGCGGATTGACACAGTGATTGTGGCAATGGGGGAAAAGAGTGTAAGAGACAGTGAGAATGGCTCAAGACAGGGTAGAGTTCAGAGCTATTGTTCATAGGGTCTCTATGCATTGTAAGTGACTCAACAGCATGTAACAACAACAATAATCATAATGTGGTTCCGTACTTGGGGGCTAGGGGAATTACAGATAACATGGAGAAGAAGGAGAAGTCAAGACCACCTAACAGTGCTCATGCAGAATCTGTATACATACAAAGAGGCAGCCATTCAAATAAGCACAAGGAGTGCTGGATGGTTTGAAGTCATTAAAGGTGTGAATCAAGGTTGTAATCTTTCCCCATATCCATTAAATATGTCATCTGAGCAAATATTCCAAGAAGCTGGACTAACTGAAGAAAAATATAACATCAAGAATGGAAAAGACTCATAAACAACACGCTGTAAATCTTTACAGAAGCAGACTACTTCATTTTTCCACTGTGGAGCACATGGTAGGTTCAACTCACCAAGCTTTAGTCTCATGAGAAATTGAGCCAAAAACATTCCACTAACCAGGAAAGGACAGTGCCTGCAAGAGCCTAAAGAAGAATGAAGCTTGTCATTCTGAAAAACCTACAACCAGGAGGGAATAAAATAGATGAATGGGACCTTGTAAGATTCAAATCCCTAGGCACATTGAAAAACATCTCCAACAGGGTAAAAAGTCATAGAGTCAGAAAAAAAAATATTTGGTAATGACATGTCTGAAAGTAGACTTTTTATCTAGAATTTATAGCATACACAAACACCTTAACAAGATAAAAACAAACCACCAAATATCAAAATGGGCACAGGATATGGACAGAAACTTCACCAAAGAAGACATTCAGATGGTGAACAAATAAGATGAAGAAACGTTCAAAATCCCTACCTCAAGGAGAGATGCAAATCAAAACAACTATGAGATGTCATCTCACCCCAGTAACAACAGAAAAGTTCAACAGTGATGCTTTGGAGAAATTGGAACCCTTAGTCACTGTTGGTGGGAGTGTAAAATGGTGCAACCACTGTGGACAACAGTATGGCACTTTCTCAAAAAGATGGAAATAGAAATATTATTTGACTCAGCAATTCCACATCTGAGAATACAACCTAAAGAAACCACAACTGCCACCCAAACAGATATATGCACACCATTATTCATTGCTGCACTGTTCACAATAGCAAAGAGATGGAACCAACCCAAGGGCCCATCAACTAATGAATGGATAGAGAAGCTGTGGTATATTCACACAATGGACTACTACACAACACTGTAAAAACAAGGAACTCATAAAATATTATACAGAATGGGTGACCCTGGAGGATATTATACCGAGTGAAATATCTCAGTCACAAAAGGAGAAATACTGCATAACACCACTGTTATAAAACAGGACTCA